AATAGCATTTAGAAGCGATGGAATGTTTCCCTGGTAGTAGAATAAGGGTGTAATTGTGATGGATAAAGGAGGACGTTTGGGCCTTTGATTGAGTAATGATTTGAATAAAAAGGGGGATTTCATTAATTGTACAGGATTAATTTACCCGCATAAGGTGAATCACATTGGGATGCTATGAAATACGGTTATGGAAATTACTCCAGATGTTCCTCGATGCAACGTGAGCCCTAGTAATTACGTAAAAGGTTTCAAGTCATCAGTGGTAGATTGTAGATCAATATTGAGGTGAATAAACAATGGATGGATAAAAGTTACAAGTATGAGATGAGATTAGGCCGTCATTCTTAAGATGAACAATAATAAGGAAGCATTAAAGGACTTAGACTTATACATATAGGATAAGCAACGAGAGTAAGCTGGAATTTGGTAGGAGACCCCAGCAACGATAAATCGAAGTAAGAGTTATGGTATAGTATGACCTACTTAGATGCAGTAAAGTCATATGGATAGATAACCGGGTCTATGAAATAAGAGATAGCAATATTCGTGAGTTCAATAAAGTACCGAGCAAAGAACTTCAGTATACCTATAGATGCCCAGAGGGACATCTTGTCAAGCTCTGTATATGTTTACAAAGTGAGGCCTAGAGATTGGCTAAAAACGTGAGGGAAAATGAGAGAAGAGTCGCATAGGCGCACATACAAGGACAAAGACGTACATACTGCATAACAGAAGGTAGCAACAGTTACGAGATTGGAAGAATTCCGACCACAAGTCATGGTGTGAGAAAGAGGCCTAAAGGGGGGAATGCCCTGGCCTTTGGAATTATTTCACAGAACAGTTGCCTAGATGGAAAGGAAAATACTAAAGTATTCGGAAGATATAAGTTATGAAAATGATAAGTGCATCAGTCAAAATTCGAGGACGAATGTTCCAAAAGGGGGAATGATATTACACCCCCATATTTTCGTATGTGAAAGTACGCCATAAGTAAATTGATGAAATCTCGAAAATGAAATGTTACATTCCGTATTTCCGTATGTTAAAGTTTCGTCGTAAGTTAACCGACGTAAGTCCGGGAATGAGATTTTGTTTTTTGAAGATTATAATCATTATGCTATTTCAAACAAGTGATAAGTAAATTCGTGAAAGGGAGAGGGTAAGCAAATCGAAAAAAATGAGTTTCGTCGAAGTTTGACATTTTGAGATAAAATACGGTCCAAGCTATAATACCTCGTATTTATGGACTAGTGTCATACAAGGTACTACATGACCATGATAGTAAGGTGCATAAGGTATGTTAAAAGTGAGTAGTGNCCCACACGTGGCAGCAAGCCACCCTAAGATTTATGACTCTTAAGTCATTATGGATTATGCGGCAAGATTAAGGATTAAGTGGTTAAGCCGCCACACCAAGTGAGGCCCCCACACCTATCCCAATATACTGCCCCTCTAAATTAGAGATGTATATATATCAAATGATAAGAACGTGAGATTTGGCATCTTAAGAACATATATCAATTTAAAAGAGAGATTTGGCATCTTAAGAACATATATCAATTTAAAAGAGAGATTTGGCATCTTAAAGAGAGGTCGATATCTCTTTAACATCTTAGTAACGTCTCTAATTCACTTCAGCAAATTCAAACAAAAATTTGCATCTTAGCATCCTTAGTAACTTGATTTTCTTGAAACAAAATTCAAACAAGATCTATTATCATCTTAGCAACGTGAGATGTTGCAATTTTAAGGGAGTATGGTGCAATCTTTCTCAAGAATATCATACGGATTTTTTCCTACTCCGATCTTGCCGTCACGTGTTTTTTCGCAAAAGACGAGTGTTAGAGGGATTGTCAAGAGAATCGACTCTGGTATGTTAAGGCTATCCCTTCTTTCCTTTTGGAATGGTCCAAATTATACAAATGAAACGAGCAAAATACGCAACTTTCTTGATTCCCCATGTGTCTTATTATTCTATCATCTGCTCATGGGTCTCAAAAAATACATAAGTTGATAAAGTTTATTTCATGATATTAATCAGAGGCATAATGGTCTTATGACATTCAGAGAGATTTTATTGACGTACTTCTCATGCATTGCATTCATTTATACATGTACATTGACCCATGATCAGATGGCGTTATATACGCATATATATGTATATTATATGTATATGGGATATGGGAAAAGGTTACGGCATTATATATGCACCACCACCTGATCAGCTAGTATACATTGATGATTTACCCACAGTGGCCGAGATGATATGATGGGATTCCATCAGAGGCTTGATGATATTATGAGTGCATATACCTAAGCATGGTATGACATTTATACGCATATGCATGACATTGTAAATATTAATGATTCACAGAGTTATTCAGACATACATGTCGAGTCTTTTACTCTATGTTTCTCTCATGTATATTGTTTACTGATTTTTATTTCTTACATACTCAGTACATTATTTATACGGACGTTCCTTTGCCGGGGGACGCTGCGTTTCATGCCCACAGGTCCCGATAGACAGGTTGAGAGTCCTCCAAGTAGGCTATCAGCTCAGCGGAATGTGTTGGTGCGCTCTATTTGCTCCGAAGTTGCTTATGTGGTCAGTATGATTAGGACATGTATTGATTAGTATGGCGGGGCCCTGTCCCGACTTTTATAATATTTATGTACTCTTAGAGGCTTGTAGACATATGTCGTGTACGTGAAAGATTGTACGGCCTTGTCGGCCTATGTTTAGTGTAATTTTGGTCTTATAGGCCATTATGTCATATGTATAAGTTTGTATTCCCTCATGCTTTACTCCGGTTCATTTATCTATGATAGAATGATACTAATTACGTTGGTACTCGGTATAAGGTACAGGTTCCCTTCACGGCCCATCAGTTTGGGTCGTGATATGGTAGTCAGTTAATGTATATATATTCCGGGATGGATCTTCTCTGGGCCGGATTAGCCATATACAGTACTGAGTGATTGAGCATGATGAGTTGAAAGTGTGAGACAGTGAGATTGAGTACTATGAGATTGTGAGTACATGAGTTCATTTCTGAGATACATTGCATTGACATGCACACATGACATACATGCATAGAGATGTATCTTCCTCATGTTATACAGTATCACGTCATTCATGACTTCTCATATATACTGGCATATGTGCATAGTGATGCATTTTACACTGGCTATCTAGAAAGAAAATGAAACATCTTATTTATTGTTGAAAGAATTTTGAGAAAATTACTGTTTTTAAACTTACTCATGTTTTTGGCAACTTCGGTAAATAATTTGGGTTTTCACTGATATACTTGAAAGACAGAACTATTTTCAGAAATCATGATTAAGCTAAGCATTTTATCTCTGAGTTACTTCTTTTATTACTTGCTTTACGTTGTTATGGACTGTTGTTCGCTATTGGTGTTGGACCCGACCTTTGTTCCAGCTCGTCACTACTTTCAACCTAAGGTTAGGTTTGTTACTTATTGAGTACATGAGATCAGTTGCACTCATACTATACTTCTGCACCTTGCGTGCAGATGTTGGCCGCTGACGTTGCTGAGACCGACATGAGCTGGATTTGAAGATGTACCAGTGTTCCGGTTGTAGCTGCCTCTTGTTCATGGTAGCCTTAGATTTACAAAGATCTGTTTATGTACATTTCGAACAGATGTTGTATTTATTTCATATCATCTTTTTATATTCTAATCTTAGAAACTCATGATTTGTACTACCAGTCCTTGGGGAATGTATAAGATTTAGATACTTTCTTTGACTTAATTGTCTTGTAAATTTCATTGGAATTGGATATTTGATAATTGGCTTACCTAGCGGGTTGGATTAGGTGTCATCACGACTAGTTGGATTTTGGGTTGTGACAGATATGGATTATGTTTTTTAAAAATTCGGATATCCGGATCGGATTCGGATTGGTATAGTTTAATCCAATCCGACCCGAAATTAAAAATTATATGGACCTATATAAATACTAGACTAAAGTTTTAGGGTTAGGTCTTCTTTCTTATTTCATTTTTCAGACTTAGCTATTTAGGTTATATCGATATTTTCTCTCTCTCACTTCTCTGCTCCTCTTCTCTTCTCCAACTCTCTAGTCAATTTCCATTCTCAGTCACGACCAGACGACGCACACCCTTAATCGACGGTAAGACTAACCTATTCTCTCTCTCTAACATGGTTGTTAATTATTATTGGTTTCATGGTTGCTTTCTCCCTCTTTCTTAGAGCTTAAAGGTGGTATTTTTCATCTTTTATATAGGTATTTTCAGAACCTACACCAAGAAACTTGACCCAGTGATAAGCCTTAATAATGCGTACAATCCGATCCGAAAATTCATAATATTTATCCGATCCAAACTTTAAAATCCGATCTGATCCGATGCTAATTCGGATTGGATTCAGATTGCATTTTAAAGAATCCGAAATCCGAACTTTCAATCCGAAATATGCTAGATCCGATTCGATTTGATCGATGAACATACCTAGTTGGTGGGGATGGGGAATACTGTTGGAAGGTTGAAAAAGAATTTTGAAAAATATATTTTCTTCTCTTGATAGGGAAAACATTTTCCACATTTTCCTCCAATTGAAGGAAAATGAGTTCATGAGAAAAATATTTTTCAAAATATGTAAGCCAATCAAAAATGAAAAAATTAAAAAATATTTTCCAAAAAATATTTTTGTTCGTACCAAACACACTCTTAGTCCGTGTAACTTATTAAGATTAATATTAAGACATTTCATCAAATTTTAATGCTAAAAGATTTCGCCAAACGACTTCAACTTTAGTGATACTATTACTAATTCTTAATAAATAAAATATGTTTAAAAAAGATATTCTCATTAATAATCTAACTCTAGAAAATAAGAAGTAGTCAGTGTTGTTACTGTTTTTGGAAAAATATTGTTCTTAGAAATATATTCCGTGGCACTCCCTCTACAACGCAGATTGGCCCGAACCTTGACCCGGCCCAACCCTAGACTTTTTTGCCATGCCACGAAATTCTATAGTACAATTACAGCAACCAGCGACTCGAGGAGTAGGAGAGACGACTGCGAAGTGCGAACAGAAGTTCAGCGGCGCCCAACAGCATTCGTTCCTACTTCCAAGTAATACTGGTTTTAAGTTTTGCTTCTATTTTCTGGCTTGGCTGCGGCAATCTCTTGATATATTGAAAAGTAAATGGTTAAATATTTTTGAATTGGGAATTTTCTCGAATTTACTTTTGATTTGTGAAATTCATCCGCAGATGAGGCTGTTAACTCACAATATGCTATCATCCAACATCAAGGGAGTCGCAAATGGATTTCCGCTGAAGATCGAAGTTGAGAAAGTGGTAGCGAAGGAGGTCGATTTCAACATCGACTTCCTCAAGAACATGTTTCATAAAGTTGAATGGAAGGCACTGGCGGAAGCTTCTAGAACCATGGGCTATGCCGAGCTGCCTGAGAAAGCTGATGCGGCTATACTCGAGTCCGATGATTTTCTTCATAAGTTCCACCATGCCCTACTTGAGCTTCATCTGGAAGAGGGTGCCTTGGTTTGTCCCGAGACTGGCCGCAAATTTCCTGTCACTAAAGGCATTCCTAATATGCTCCTTCATGAAGATGAGGTTTGATTTTTATTTCTCTTTTTGGGTATTGATGTGTTTTGCTTTGGAAATGGGGGCTAGGGTTTTTGATATTAGGGTTTAAGGAGTTGGTTCGAACCATTTTGATTGTAATGTGATAGCCTTGTCGATATTATGGAGTGATTATCAGAACTTCTTTGTTCGGAAATTATTGAACGTTCAGTTTCCTATCTTTTGTTGTTCCTTTTTCTTTTTTAAATTTTTATTATACTCCCTCCGGAAACTTTTATAACCTCATAACCCCACAAACCTTTTAGGCTCACTCTATCTAAATTGAAAACGGGGAGTAATGGTTTTGAAGTCAGAAATAATAACACGATAAGGTCCTACGCACCATTCTCCTCTGTTGTGGAATTATACTTAGGTTTGTCGTTGTATGATGGTGGCAAAAAGGTCTATTTTGAAATGCCAACAAGTCAAGGTTGAGCTCAGTAATTTGCTGCAAAAACATTCCAGATGGCCTTACGCGTAAACAATTTTATAAAGGCCTTGATGTAACATGAATATCTCAAGAGCGTTTAATATTAAGCAAACCCCCTAATTCCTAATAGGTATAATCTAATGATCATACTGATGAAAGAAAATTTCAATCTACTAGCAACAACAAAGTTTAAATTAAACGGACCATCATTAGTCCTTAATTTGCATCAGAGTAGATTTGCTATAGCACTGTAGTGTACAAAGGTAATTTGTTTTGTGACATCTAGTGTACACGAAAAAGAATGGTATACTAACGTCAACCTTCTTAGATTGAAAGGGAAAAAAGAATAATCCATTATTCATCACAACACGAGACAATTCCTTATGGGGGTGAGGCACGCCATACCAAACGCATATTAGCTAGCTGGAATCGCTTCTCCTGTTCTTGCGAGGAGTGGTTTCATAGGGGGGAAGAGGCACACCAAACACCCAATCAAGAACATTCAAGTACTTGGATCGGAAGACATCCCTCTCTATAGCATAACAATGCATGATAATTGCAGTTGCAATGCTAAAAATCACCACATCGGCTCTCTTTAAATTTTTAGACCGAGGCAAATACCCAACATCGACCATGCACGTGACGAAACTCTCAAGTGCCCGAGCAAGGCAGTAGAGCGAAATCTCTATCCTTCTGCTCTTCTTTTCAATTGCCAGGGCCAGACCAGTAGGGAACTGCAAAAGAAATTTATGTTAACTTTACAGAGGGAGAAGTAAACAACAGGTTAAGAAAACTAATTAATCGGTCCTATACCGTCCCCAGTACCACCATGGGGATGTTACATCTCCTGAACAGCCTGAAGAGGATGCACGTCCATAACCTAGCAATGAAACAATACATGCAGGGAGATAAATGAACATTCAAAGCTAGAGGACTAAAACGTGGAGGGAACTTAAGCTCGTCAGATCAAAAGATCTTGAAAAACGAGGAAATATTTACAACAAAGACAATAACATGCGATTACAAATCAAATCAGTTCTTACCAGGCAGATGAACAATACACGGAGAGAAATAGACTAGACCTTGCTGTACCAAGAAGACCCTTTGCCAAAATTGTGTTAGGTCTGCAAAAAGTAACACAAATTGTTGTAATAATTGGAGCTGAAGGAAGATGATTGTACAAATATAGAGCTTGGAAATAAAATGGGCTAAATGCAATATTGACTATCATGATGGAAATGTACTATCAAATAATTGCTTACTAAAGTAACAACTACACTACATATAATGCTTCAGATTTTAGCAATCATGATCCAAGAGAAGAACCAAGAAGACAAAATACTTTGTTATTAAGAAACCAACATTCAGTACCTTTTCAAGAGCCCTTGACGATGTACAATGAGTGCAGGAACTAAATAAACTGGAAGGTAAACTGGCAAAGCCCTCTTGTAAGCTTGAATTAGAAAAGAAATAAAATGTGCACCACATCCTTGATTCTCATGTACTATCTGCACGAACATCCAAAAGGGAAAACAGTGCTTATCATCAACAAATTAGCATGTAGAGTAAACTCTTACAACCCTTGATTACCGTCAAACCAAAAATTTCAAGAAAGTGTAGTGGCACCTACTTTAGGCAAACACATGACACACAATCAAGAGTCTGCAATAGAGGCCAAAATAACAGGATGTTTGGTTTTTTCATAACAATTACAGGTAGAGCGAAAGTATGCTAGGGCAATGCATCATCCAGCCACATCCTGGGATGAAAAATCATAAGTGGCTTACTCTTTATAAGGTATACAAGAGGCTACAACATTAAAGGTATTTTTTTCATATGAAGCTAATCAGTGAAGCATGCACCATAGTTGGAACTATAAAGCAAACTAGCGAACAAAGTTTATCATGTATTTTTAGTTTCAAGAACTCCTGATATGCAGAGTTGATACATATCGGTGACACATATCAAACCTCAGATGGTTCTCCTCTTCAGCTGGGTATTCACTACTACAACAACGACTATGTCTCAGTCCCAAACAAGTTGGGGTCGGCGATATGAATCCTCATTCTTTTCATTTAGCTCACTCATATCATCATCATTACCAAAATAATATATATATTAATAATAATAATAAAAAAAACCATAATAATAATAGAAGTTCTCTATCAAGTCTAAAATGGGTATTCACTACTGTAAATAAATCATAACTCTTAACTTTTTCTGCAGTTCAACTTAAATGCATTTCACATAGCCCCAAAATACCACATGAAAGAAAAATGGATGATATATAATAATGTCCTAACAGAGTACAGTATACGAAAAACAACGAACAACACATCTTCCACAAACACAGAAAAATTTCCAGATACCACACTTGTCTTCATTAGCTCTAAAAAGTATTGATTATGAAAACCAAAGGATAATAACAAACAGCAAAAGGGAAAAAAGAACTAAGATATGGTAAAATACATAATCTATAAAGTAGTGACTACTAGAAATAGCCAATCTCGTCGATTTACGGACCCCTTAATAAGAAGATATCAGTCAAGTCCCAAGAGCCCTCGTTGTAACCTTAAACGTTTGTTAATTTAAACCTAACTTCAAAAAACACCCAAACAACCTCAAAAGCTTTAAGAATACAAAATCATAGAAACAGAGGACAAAAAACAACCTCAATCCAAACCTCCAACTTCTAGCTCTACACAGTAAATATTTTAACTCCTTTTCCCCCCAGCATTTTGTAAAGTAGCTAAAAATTGCTTTCGCAGAGCAAACCCAACTAATTAGAAACCAGCAGTCATAAATTTGAAGAGACAATAGAGGGTTTGCACAACCTCTAATTATGCCTGATGTACTGGCTTAGTGCATAAATTTATACGTAATTTCTTTAATTACTTACCCAAAAAAAAAAAAATAGAAACCAGCAGTCATAATTGAACTATTTTTCCTGCCAAGGAACAGGAAATTGTGACATACCGAGCAGGGTACTTTCATTTGTGGATCCAGCTTAATGTCAACACCATTGGACTTGTAATGATTCTGTATCGCATCCAAATTGGCTACAGAGTTCCCACATGCCAGGTCTCGCACACCCTGCAAGATAACCTGAGCTTTCCCACCATGTTTGTTGAGAAAGGATTTGTAAGATGGATGCAGACTATCTTGCTTCAATATATAAGCGGACCTAACATAAATAAAAAAATGGAGTATGAGAGAAAAACATAGCTCAGAAGGGCATAGGCTTCTCAGAATCAGCAAATCAAGTCTTCGTAGTAAATCAGGTTTTTGAATGCGGAACTTACCACATTTTTTCAGCGAAACAATAAACTGACAGGAAAAAGATTTTTTTTTAAAATCTTTATTAAGACTGATGACAACAAGTGTTTAACAACTACTTGTAGACAGACGTTTTAGGTAAATTTCTGCAGGAAGTTGTAATCAGAATTGATCCTATGGAAGCACAAAATTATATCTTTTTCATGCTGGCAACAAATCTAGATTACTAGACTTTGCTGTGTACACTGTAATATGTCAAAAAATGACTTGTTTAAGTACATATTGCGTCCCTTCCTAGTTCCATCAAATATTACAAGTTTGACCTCTTCTTGTTGTTGCTAACACAAGTACACACAGATCTCCCACATAATCACCAGAAGCCAAAGTTAGCTTGGCCCTTGGGTGGTCAAATTAACAATTTTTTATTGTATTTTGGGTGGTCAAATTAACATAGGAATTCCACTTGGGCTAATGTAGTACGGAAGCTCAAACAGTTACTTCGGTTCATTGTTAATGTACGGTATCCTAGACATAGTGTGCTTGGGGATAACATACATACAAAGACAGTGGTATGTGCATGACTGAGGCTTTGCCTTGTATAAAACTTTCCATTTAAGATACGTGCATATGTTTAAGGGAGCTAGGGCTTTGGAAATGCGGTGTTACTTCCTTCAAAGGAAAGATTAAACATGTCAACTATCTCGTGGAGCCACTGCAAATTGGTGCAGTTTTATGCTTCATCGGTTAAACGCATGCCATCAAGATTTATATTAACAGAATTCTACTTACATTGGTAGGAGGGATTAGAGAATTGGATCTCAAGACAAGTCATATAATCATAAATTCTTACTGAAATTAAAATATACTTTTCCACATTCTTTGTAAGGCAAAATCATAATACAGTTCTTTCGTTGTAACTTGTGACAGACAAATAAAGAATCTGAGATTAACCTGATTCAGATATGACAATTCTACTCTCCCTGAAACATTTACCAGATTATCAAGTGGGATTGGATCAGTTTAAATATTTATGGTTATAAGACTACTGAAATGTCAGTGTCCAATCAGCACTCTGACTACCATATTTGTTTTTTTTGATGACCGAGAAATCCGTCTGGGGCCGATCCTTTGGACCAATCGCAGCCTTCGAAACTCGTGGATAATGGGTCCGCCCCTCTACCCTTCTCCACTTAAATACCAGGCTTTGCTTTGCATGGTGTGGGGGCTTGAACCTGTGACCTAAGACACAAATCCACCACCCTTTGCCACTTGAGCTAGGCCCTGGGGGCAGCACTCTGACTACCATATGAGACAACCACTTCAATACATGCAAGACTGAGCATGCATGTATAAATATTGGAGCATACAGCTTAAGAATTTNCTTACTTTTTATTCCACATCGCGATGCCAACACAGCTGCACGCATAAGAATGTAAATTGCCAAGCTTGTATGCTGTGTGTTCCCAGTAAGAAGCATTGATGGCCCCGCGATTGCACCAGCTAGCAATGCTCTCCACTTAGCTGTCCTGAATTTCAATTAAGTTTCTGCTTAATTTACTGTTATGTTAATCATCTCCCAAACTCGCATAACAAATGCAAATTTTTCTGATTTTAACAAATTCAAGTATATGTATTTGTGTGTACATAAATAAAACAAACTGAAAATTTTTGAATGTAACACACACACACACACATAGTGTGGTACCTTCGATGACCGCCCCAAGCAGATACAATTTCATCAACAGATACAAAAGTACCAGCGAAAGTGCCAAGGAATAGACCATATCTTAAAGTCTCCTTTAGTGCCAAAATTATATCGTCACTGCTCGACACCATTTGCGCTTTCCTAAACATGAAAAACAAACTCAAATGAGATAAGCATAGCTGTGAAATTGAGATCTAAAAAGCTTTGATGATTCATAAGAAAAGAACTTTTACTTCGCAGAGGACAACGATTTTCTACGTCGTAGCCGAGAGAGAACAGCGAAGATAGCGAGGCCACCTTTGAGGCCAGCGCCAATGGTAAAGCCTTTAATAGAGGCACTATAGATTCTCCAAAGTTTATCGTAGTCCTGAACCGGATAGGATTCAAGGCTAAGCAACGAGCAAGATGACGAAGAGGAAGGCAGAGTCGATCGCCGGCAATGCTGGCAGCTTTGATTTTGGTTTTCATCTTCGGTGGAAGAGCACATGCAGCGGCCGCCGGCAGCGGCGTCAGCTCCATTGCCGGACGGCGGCATAGCGGCGGTGGAATACGTTTTCGAAAAGAACTCTGTGCTTATCGAAGGGCAAGTGAAAGTGTTACACGTATGATTGCCAGTTGAGATGAACCTTTTTTTTTATTTTTTTATTTTTTGGATTGAGTTTTTTTATTGTCGTTTTAAAATACAACACTAATTAAAGGACCACACCTCTTCGCCTATTCGGTCCTGAACCTGAAATGGCAAAATTCTGTTTTTTCTTCTCACAAAATGCTCTCCTTTGTCCGCCGAAAATAACACACGTCCTTTACATTTAGTTACAACTTAACGATATATTTAAGATTTTTTTTCTGTTACCGTTGACTTTTTCTCTGTCCTCCTTAAAAACGTGAGAATGATACTCTATTATTTCCGAGCTCTGAAAGTTTAAGAGAGTCAAGTAAAATTTACTCCATTGCTGACAAATATGTAAATATGGTGTTTCTTGTACCAAAGAACTTCACTTAACTTACGTTTAGAGTTTAGACCGCTCACAAATTAACTGCTGAATTGTTCCTCAACAAAGGAGCTTATTATTTGCTTAGGAACATTGAAGTAAAGGAAGAGAGGTTGTTGCACATTTTTCCTGCTATATTAACAGACGAAATTTGAAAGAGCAATGTGAGAAAAATTCAGTTAGATACGTTCACCTATAGGTGTATCTTGACCTACAAATACATTATTTGTACAAAGCTTGGACGAGTTTGACAAGAGATGCAATCATTTAATTGTTAAAATGGGTGTAATATCCATCCAAACTGTTGTTCAACTTGAGTTACATTATAAGCGACTAAGCGTAAATCAATCATCGCCGAGTTATTATAATTTACTCTCACTTTATCGTTGCTCTCCTCACCCTTTTCATTTCCCCAAAAAGGTAATCATTAATCAGCTATCTTTTCAGCCTGTTGAAGAGAATACCAGCCTTTTTGTTTGATAAGCTTTTTTCCTGTTGGGACAGAGGAGGATTAATGACAACATGGAAAATTACAGTGAAAGAATTTCATTAATTTGAATTTAGACAATTAAGAGCAAAAGAGGTAGTAAGATAAAAGGGTCGGAGTTTTATTAGTAGGATACATATAACATGTAAATGAGATGAATGTGGTTAAAGGGGTTTGGGCTTTTATTATTGGTACAGACTACAGATAAAGATGATCTTACTGAGTAAAAAAATAGCAGCGTCAAGTCTGTGAGCCTGAATCTAAATTAAATATTTCATTAAGTGTTAAAGAGAAATTTTAGCTTCAATGTCCAACAAACTAAACCCTACCTCTTTAATATCATGTGATGAATAACATTGTAATACAATGCTTCTGTACCTCGTTACTTCGCTGTTAACAGATGTTCTTCATTCCACTTTGAGAACAATCTTCATGAACTCGTAGACAAAGTAGCTTATGGATGCTGAAGGTAACACCTGAAGATTCAGAACATGATAGTTAGAATGGGAAGTCTTGTTAGTAACGAGATTCGAAAAGAAGAAAATGAACTCAATCCCTCAAATATATGGTTGAATTTGGAATATTATAATCACAGAATATGCAAATCAATTGAACTGAAATATGATAATTTCTCTAGTTGTGGATGTAGTGTTTCTGCTATTTAAAGAAAAAGTCAGCCATAGGGGCAATCCAATAAAACGAAGGAGAGGGTGAAAAGGAAGATAAAAGGCAGAAAATAGAGAGGCCACAACTCAGAATCTTGTTCTCTTAGGGCTCGTTTGGTACGAAGGATAATGGATAATTAATCCCGGGATTAAATTTGAGATGAGTTTATCCCACATTTGGTTGGGATAAAATCGTGGTATAACTAATCCCGAGATTGTAGTGTTTTCTTATCCCCCATGGAAGGGTGGGATAACTAATCCGGGGATAATTAATCATGGGATAACTTGTTTCCCAACCAAACGACCCCTTAGTTCCCCCTCTTGCTATCCATTTTCCTAGATAGTTTTTACATCAGGGCAAGGAGAGGAAGTTTTAACCCTTGAGACTTAGTAAAATAGAGCTGATAATACTTGTTCTAGTTAACCAACTGACTATCTTAACCTAATGAAAAATTGCTACTTCCATCTGCATATTGAGGAGCACAACGATGGGGGGAAGAATGGTATTCAGTTTCTGAGATTGAAATGACTCATTTACTGATGAAAAAAGTATCTTTAACATAATGCATGGCCACAACGGTACTGGTACCTGTAGTAAACTAGGGATTAACCCTGCATATAGAGCTGGAACACCCCCATGTTCAACAATCTTTGCACAAGTTGCCAAGGCACTCAGTTTGGATGCTCGGCCTTGTAATTGAAGTTGCCTTCTAATGACCTCAAATGGGTAGGTTGCAGCTTCAGCACACGCACCAGCGATAGCACCATGGAGCAAGGTCCTCATAGGTCCCAACTCAAGCTGGTCCAAAGCATTGAGCTCTGCTCCCTGTTGCTTCATATACTGAATTCTTTTTCTTCCTTCAGGTGAATGCAAATAAGCTGATTTTAATATGTCGTACACACTATAGAAGACAGCTGCAGCTGGGGCCATACTCAAGATGGAGGGTACTAGGCCCTTATAAAGAGAGAAGAATCCTTCAGTTCTGATCAGGTGTTTGAAAGCTCCACCTACACCGCCCAAGGCTTCTCCACCCCGTGCCACTAACTTGGTCCGGATCTGAAAGGCTTTAAATTATCAGGCAACATTGGAAATAACAAAGAAGAAGCCAGAGGGAAATCAAACTTCCCCAATCATTAGGAGGATAATCAATCTAATAAGGAAATCAATTGGTGTGAACACGTTATGCATTTATATTTATTAAAAAAAATTGTTACACATTCTTATAAAAGAATGAAATGCAAACTATTTCAGCACAACAGCTGCTTCCATTTTCAAATCAGAGACATAAAAATTAGTAATATCACCAGGCCTACGATGCTAATAAATGACAGAACATCATTCCATGCACTATCTTTTATTATAAGCATGTATCAGACCTGAATGATAAGGGAGAAATTAGTTTGGCCCGTATTAACAATGACAGACAATGTCCAGTGCCCATTTTGTTTTGCTGGGTCACTGATGGACCGGAGATTTGTTCTATTTTTTCATCCCTTTCCTTGTTTTTCTCTCAGACAAAGCTGATGTACCAAACTTTTCTTCTTTTTTTTCTTGATCAGTAGCTGTTAGACAATTTTTATACAGGGAAATCCGCTCCTTTGCCCCTGCCTATATGGCATCTTCAGTTGGGGCCCTTCTATTATTTGATTTAGGAAAAAAAATTAAGACCTCAACTGTATTTTTTAATCCTAAATGAAAGTTAAAATTCTATAATTCTTAGTTTTATTTTGTTCTTTAATTCAATAGTTTTTCCTATCTTTCGGTATCTTATGTATATCAATGAATAACAATAAATAGCAAAAACAAAAAGGGATGTGCTTAAGGGTCTTCTAGACATGATTCCCTGTGATGTGCTTAATAGTGTTTATTCTTGATCGGAAGTTAGTTTGCTCGAGGATGAGGAAAGCTTTAAAGTTTGGGAAGTTGATAAGAGTCTATTTATCAATCCCAATTATTTCTTCCTTAACCACCCTCTTGGTCTGTGCCCAAGGCTTCTCACAAGCACTGTCCCACCTCCCCAGTCCTTTCTGCCACTAATTGGCATTGCTTTCCCCTTGTCACACTCGCTATCTCCTTCCACAACTCACCAAGAAATGCTAAGAAAACAAAAAAGGTTTAGAGGCAAAACTGCTTGATAAGTTAGAACTCATCAGCAGATGAATCAGAAAGAGTAACTACCGAATTTTAACGTGTTTCCATTAAGCAACTGCAAAATATACGAGAAATAGGATAGATGGATAAAAAATGGGATGGGCGCAGAATTATTGACACTTGAAGATGATGTATCCAAAATATCAATTTGCTTTCCTTCAATTCCAGAACTAATTGTTTCATATAAAGAATCTTTTGTTTATTGGTTGCTGAATTTCCTAAGCAAAAGTCCCTAACAAAAAGATGTCTCCTTCCCACTGGCAGAAATCTATAATCAATGAATGATGCAGATCGAACTGACAAGCAGCTAGTGTTTTGCAGAACATAAACCAAAAGATTATACGGGCAAAATACCTCCTTTTCAACTCCACATGATATTTTTAGGCCTCTTTTTGGATATCATTTGTATTTGCGGCCTGCCTTTTTGGATTGCTAGAGGCTGAGAGTCAAAAATTGTATTTAAGGAATGGAAACTATACGCAACATAAAAGAAGGTTTATGGAAGACGAGAAAAGAAATTTCTTATTTTCATTTTCTCTTGCTATTTTTGGATTAACAATGTTAAAGAAAGAAAACAATTATATAAAAAATGGAACTAGGAAAAAAAAGGTTCTTAAAGTTGATAATTCTGTCGTCGACTAGATCAAAATGCTAAAATGATGCACTGACAGTTTTATGTGCTTATATGCAAAATAGATGGGCTTAATTGAAGATTATAAATATCAAAGGGACAAAAATGCAATTTTCCACATCTCATAACTCATGACTTACGGTGTCCAGTGGTAAGCACATCACAGTAGCAGTTACTCCAGCTGCGGCACCAGCAACAAACCTCTCGATGTTAGTAGTTTCTTCATTTCCTGATAATCTTAGGAGTTGCTTTCTGTATGTGTCAAAAGCACAAAAATTAACTGCCTTAAATGGAGCAGTACGAAGGACATTGACCAAGTTCCCTTTCCAAAAGCCTCTCAAGCCTTGAGTAGCTGCAATCGTTTTGATGAGCTCCACCAGGTGTTTCTGTTCACCTCGAACTATGTATTCCAGCTTTAGTCTTTCAAGTGGAGCAACAACAGTTCTGCTAAAACAAGATTTATTCATACAGAGTTGAAGCAAAAGATAGTTGTGTGAAGAAACTGATTTCAACATCGATTTGGAGTACACTTTAGAAGTAACTTCAGAAGCATGCTTAATATCAAACCTAAAAAAATAGAAGGTATATAGATGGATATAAACTAGACTATCTGTTACCAATTTTACTATTTTAACAAATGTAAAGTAATCAAATAAATATAAAGAAAGTTAACAGGGCTATGAGTTAGTTCATACAGTAAGTTGTCGACTCTGACCATCACAATGCCGGAGAGAAAATGGACAGAAAACGAGAATAAGGAAATGGAAGTGCACAAAGACTCAGAAATAATATAGGGGTTGATTGACCAGGTATGATCGCTTATAAGCTCTGAATAGTTTCAGAATAAGGACCATTTCTGAAGTTTCATGTTGGTTCAAATTTCAGAAAACTGCAGAACATGATTGAGGCAATTTGTAAGCTTGAAACTTTTACTTATCAAAAGGAGGGGGAAAGAAAAAGAAATATCTTAACTCTAGGAATACAAAAGTTAACTTCTTTGTATTCAAAACCGTATGATTAAAAATGAATTTAAAACTTGGGTATAAGGAATATCCAGAGGCTAAATCCAAAGAAAAGGTTTTTTTTTTTTTTTTAAAGCATTCAGATCATTATTATTTTAGGTCAAAACGTGATGTTCTTCTTCTCAATGCGAGTGTCTTGCTTGACTTTTACGAAAGATTTAAACCCCCTCTCCTGCCCTCTGGAAAAAAAAAGGAAAATATAAACAACATGGTAGAAACATGGATTACTTTATGAGTAACAGGCCTAGCTTTTTGGGTAAAAGCTTACTTCTGACTCATCTCTATGTTGGAATGAAGTGAAAAAAGTGTGCCTAATCAGAACGCGATGCTTTTGTTTTAAGAAGATGGACAGTAACGTGACAAGATCCAAATAAAAACCATGACATCCATGTAAGTGGACAGTATCTGAAAAGCGAGACAAAAGTTTGAGCAAGATGGATTATCGCACATGCCTTAAAACATGGATTTATAACTTAACGGAAATAGGCCTTTGATTGTGAAAATAAACCCAAGACAAGGGAGGGATAGCCTAGTAAAAAAGGACCTCTACCTCCATGAGGTTGGAGTTTCGAGTCACCAAGGGAGCAAAATAGGGGAAGGGATATTGTTTGCTCCTGGATGGGGGGTTTCAGCGGTGGGGTCTACCATATCCAAAAATAAGAAAAGGAGGTACGAGTAAGACCAAACATCACATTAAATCTTAATGCTTCATCTCAACAATTTTGACCTTAAAACAACAACACAAGCATAGCTAGTACACTGATGACGCTTCCATTAACAACGGCAACATAGTGATAAATAAAACAAGACTCATCTGTTTCCCAGCACTTAGACATGTGAACAACCATTAATTGAAACCATCTACTTTTGACGGAATTTTTCTCCATATTTACAGTTCTTCCATATCCTAGTATTAAAATTTCAGGCCCCTCTTCAGTATTGTTTCTCTGTAAATAGAGAAAATCCCTTTTCTCCCACATATTCACAGCTTTTCCCTATCATATATTGAAAAACTAATGGCACATTCCTTGTTTCCTAGCTTTCCAACTTATAAGTGCAAGTAAAGATATGGATGTGAGTAGTTAGGGAGGCAAGCAAATTTTACCTCAAAGGCAGTATGGGAAAATTCCCTACCACAGTTTTAAGTATTGCATAGGAGATCAAGTGCAATAAAAAAGTCAGCTATGCAATAATTTTGATTTAGTTCAAAATGTCACGATTGAAATTAATAACACTTCGATAGGAGAAAAGCACTAACCTTGATATCATGGCAGCAACTGCTCCAGCCCACAAATGTTTAGTGGTATTCACTGCACCACGACGTCCCCTTAGCCCAATATTTCGCTTCCTCCCGCCTCCAGAACCGTCACTAGGCTCCTCCACCTTGGAACTCTCATCTCCATTATTACTCAACAAGCATTCACTGGAATTTCCGACAACGCAAGTATTCTTCTTGACTGATAAACTCAAACACAAGAATTTACCCCCAAAACCGGCACCAACACTCTTTTCTCGCCTGAAAATTGGTTTACGACGACGAATGGGAGAATGTAACTCATTAGAATCATCAATTGAAGAGACATTTAGAAAATTTGTGGTGGTGGTGGTAATTGAAGAAGGAATTATTGGGTCAAGAAATAAGCCACCAGTGAACAAAATTGTATCTGGGTTTTCGATAAGAGTTTGACTTTCTTCTAAGTGTTTAAACAAGGTATGAAGTCCTGGCATTCTAAAGTAAAGTTAAGATAAGAAGAATTTCTGTTGAAATTCGTTGGCATCAAAGTATGCACTGTTATGGGATAATGTTGGATTGGCGGATGATGGAAGGAAAAATGGCGGTCAGCGTTGCTTATGTCGCCGCATAGTGAGCGGCTTCAGCCTTCTTAATTATTTTTCGTGTGGTATCAGTGTACTGCTATTAAACTAAGGAAAAGAAAAGTACCATTATTAACTATAAATTATTGTTTTTGGTACATTATTAAACTGAAAATGCAGGCAAGCTACAGTACATACTTTATTAAACAATTAAATCATAATAAGCTGTAAGAGTCAAGACACCACAGTGATAGTTCAAATTCATAGAGACTAGTGACCAGTCGGCTAGTCCTAACATGAGTATATCCATTTGGATTAAATTTTTATATGTATAAAAAATACTTTAAAACAACTAGAGATAATGTATATATCCAACATATGTGGATAATCAAATCTCTCCAATCGGGTAAAACGATTTCCAAAGACACTTATAATTTGAAAAATAAAACCTTACATAAATTTCTTACATTTTATTTATGAATATTTTATATTATTTTTTTACTAATCTTCTGCGAAAAGAATTATATAACTAATTTCAGTTTAAGTGGAGGCATAACTAAATAGTGCATTGATATGATACGTGAAAATATCATACTTCACGTAAATTATGATGATATGATCTAGTTATCCTACTTAATTTATACATTATATTTCTTTCCTGCTTACTTGATGAACTTGTGCCAATGAATCCAAATATTTATTTGAATTAAACGATATTCACTAGTACGTCAAGAGTTTTGTCTCACAACTAGTTAAATCTTCATTATGGTAAAATTCTTCTTTTTGTTTTTAAATCTTCAATATAGACAAGCAAATATATTCACAAAAAAATGGAAATAAAACCAAAATCTAAAATTTGTTTAGATATTTATTCTAATGATTAGAATGACTAGTGGCGAAACTAGTAATTTTTCCAAGAGTATTCAAATTTAAAAGAAGCGAAAAAAATTTACGAGAAAGAGTGTTCAATATGTGTTATATACCTGTAAAACGTAATATTTTACCTACTTATACAGTGCAATTTTTTGATGAGGATGGTCAGTTGACCATCCTTATGACCATGTGACTTCACCGCTAAGAATGACCAACTCTAACTAACGTTTAGCTAGGAAACTAAGAGAAAAGAACTGCACTTTTTTCTGTCCCTTTTTTGTGATAATAGATGGTGTCACGCCTCCTTTTTTTCGAGGGATAGGGGATAGAAGAGTTTTTTCAATTAAAGTAACATTAATCGAAATGAGATTATTTATTTAATTTAGAGTCGTCACTTGGGATAATTATTATGGTGTCCCAAGTCACCGGTTATTTTAAAATCCCAAATCGAGGAGATTGACTCTATTTATGGTCCGCGAATACAGAAGACCGGGTAAAGAATTCTGTTAACTCGGGAGAAAGTGTGAGGCACTCCCGAGTTCCGCAATTTTAGCACGGTCGCTTAACAATTAATACTTGGCCTGATTATCTGATTTATTACATATTTTAAACCTATTGTGCATTTTATCTTTTACTGTTTTTAATATTTATGAAATTTATTTGAATAAGTCGCGATGTCACACACTCGTTATTTTTGTACATATTGCAAATCGCGCCACGTGAAAGGCACCCGCGATTTACAACATATTTATTTTAATTATTTGAAGTTGTGGTCAAATCGCGTGAAACGCGCACTTGAGTTAGGATTTACATATCATAACTATGTCATGGTAACCGTACTCATAGTCACGATGATTTATTAATCGCGCCTAAAGCAACTAGCACGTGTTCATAATTTATTTTTTCTTACGAGTTTGAGATCTTTGTGAGGTTAAGAGCTATGAAAATCAATTGTGGAAAATGGGTCGGCTTTTGCTCTTATAAATTGGGCCTGACAGAAACTATTTTGGCTCAGGTAAATTAAAATTGACCATAGTACAATTGACCATTTAAAACTAACTAAAAAGTAGGCCCAGTTACTAGTTCACCAAGCTACTCCATTAGTCCATTGTCCATTAGTCATTATCAGTAGTACATACTTCATTAAACAAACCCAACTCCCTTTAAATCTAATTAACACCCATGTCCCAACTATACAAAATGTGCTGACCAAGACATCTTTGCTTTAACATGTACGAATTATTCGATCTCAAATTTAAACAGAGAATACGTTCCTTCCTACTTCTACACATGACTTTAGATTCATATAAATCAAAAATAAATATACCTTAAACCCCAAAATGCACAATCAAACCAACTATTAATGAAAATTAAAACACCAACTAATCATGAAAAACAACTAAACAACATAATATTATGATAAAAATTTATGCCAAATAAAGTCAACAAAGAACTACAATTCAAAGAGATATGACTAGAGCATGACAATAAACATTACTGAAATGGAAAAGAAACGGACCTTTGAGGTGAAAAACTTTCTTTACTATATTGATAAAAAAAAAACTCCAAGTTTGAATTACAGAAGGAAAGTGCCGGCTACAACTCAAAGGAGAACAGGACGTCGAACAGAGTTCGAACAACCTCGATGGAACCGGATTCGGATGAACGAGAACCTCGCTGAAAATGGACCTCGAACAGGACCTCTTAAACCTCACGCAAATGGGAGAGCGAGGTTGGGACTTGGCTAGACTTTTATGGGTTTCAGAGTGATTTTTGGGTGGTGAAGTTGCTGGTTTTTTCGAAACAAAGACGAAGAAAGAATGACACGAATAGATATTCTCTTAGCGTCGAAGAAGCAAAAATATTTCTCTCAAATCTCTCCTCTCTATTTTTTTTCTCCCTCTTCCCTTTTCCTCACATTTTGTCACGACCCAAAACTAACCCCCGTCGTGATGGTGCCTATCGTGGAACTAGGCAAGCCGACTCATTTTCAAAATAAACCGATATTTTTATTTCAAAGATAATTTCAAGGTTATTTAACGTAAAACCTTCATTTAAAAAGTTCAAATTAAAGAAAAACAGAAGAGCGGAAAAGAAAAAAAAACTGACATTGGGGTGTCACTAGTCATGAGCATATACTACAATCTGTCTAACAATATCAAGGCTAACTCATCCCGAAAAATAGTTAAATACAACTAGAGGAAGATAAGAGGGAGAAGAGCAGGGGCTGCGATCGCCAAACAGCTACCTTGCTATCTCCAAGAAAATCTACAACCAGAACACTCAATAACCGCTACCGTGTCCAGCTACAACTGAATCTGCATACAAGGTGCAGGGAGTAACGTGAGTACGCCAACTCAGTAAGTAACAACAATAAATAAAGACTGAGCAGTAGTGACGAGCAATAAAGCATACAACGCTCATATCAGGAAATCTCAATAAAATACCACATACTTTTAAAAATCAGGATTTGAATCAAACATCTCGTTTAAACCCAATTCCAGTAAAAATCATTTAAA